CCGCTCCCAGTTTCTTCTTGCGAGTCTCCATCACTTGCGCCCTCAGCTTCCCAGCCGCGTCCCATCGTCCACTAAGTGAGTAAGCATCTGCCACCATTGCCATGCTCCATACCGTGTCCTCATGCTCTCGCCCTAAGACCGTCTTTCGTACCTTCATTGACTGTATTGCTAGGGTTTCTGCTTCTGCCGCGCTTCCTTTGCTCGTTGCATACCATGCTGCACGATATAGTAGCGTAGCCCACTCTATTAGCGAGGATGTCGCTTCTGGCTTCTGGCCAGCTGCCGCCTTAGCGTGTGCGAACAGCGCTTGACACGCTGCCCAGTTCTCATACTCTCCTGTCGGGAACGCTGCACAAAGGTTACTAACAAACACCTGCTTCCATTGCTCAAGTTTGCCGTTTGCAAAAAGCCATCTCCTTGTTGCAAGCTGCACGAGACTGTGCATTTCGAAAGTAGCGTTATCTGTATTGATAGAGATAAGGCAGAGATCGCGCAGCGCCACTATGTCGTTCTCAAATTTCCTCCCATCGCCACTGTCATCGCCATCGTTTTCTTCGTGCTGTCGCTGGGCCTTAGGCTGACTCTGTATACGGCTGAAGAGAAACCTAAAACGCTGCCTCGTTGACCTTTCCCTCCTCTCCGGAGCTGTGCTAGCCCTATCCACTCCTTGGCCGCCGCGGATAAGTGATTCTGGGATTCCCTGCCGGTCGAAGAAGCTCATTAGTGAGAGCAGCTCAGCTGCTGACGGTTTATATTGTCGCAAGTGCTCGAATGATATTTGCCATGTAATAATGATGGAGTTTTTAGCCTCTTTGTCTCTTCGAAGATGTCCTGCTTCGTGGTTTAGCAGGCTTGTCATTCCGCCGTCGCTACGCCTAAATTCTTCTAGGTACCGTGCCACTGAGCAACGAGGTGCGCTTCGCAAGATATATGCAGCAGCCTGTGTAATAGCGAGCGGTATGTACTCGAGCGCTGCAGCCAGCTCTGCCAGCTCAGCACCATTGCTCTTGTCCGCTTGCACTCCCTGCTTCTTTCTAAGCAGCGCCAGCGACTGCGCCTCGTCCATCGGGCCCAGCGTGATGATGTCGCGCTGCTCCACCAGCTGCAGCGCCGCTTCTTTGCTTCGCGATGTAATAAGCATCGAGCCGTGCTCGCAGTGGGGGAGGTACTCGCGCAGCGATCTAGCGGCGGTCTTGGAGCTGGCAGGTTGGGCCTCGAGTAGAAAGCTGGCATCGTCCACGTTGTCTAGCACGAGCAGCCATGGCTGCTTGCTGTCGCACAGCCAGTCGTGCACCAGCTTGAAGATGTTGGCTTGCGAATCTTGACGTCCTACGATCCTGACGCGGTCGGCAATATCGTGAAAGCTTTGCTCCAGCCGGGCGGCGTTGCTAGCGTGGGCCCACAACACCCATGTTTCTGACGACTGCTCGCGCGTGCGGTAGGCATGCTCGATCGCTAGCTGTGACTTACTGCGCATCTGTCAGTGTATCGTGCTCCGTGTCCAAGAAGCACTCGTGCTG